TACGATTATTGTGGTAAAAAGCTTGTTAAGAATCCCGGATGACTCGACTTTTTATAAAACGCTTTGAACAGGAACCAATGGAATGCACAAAGTTTGCAATATAAATTGAAACTGGATGTAGGTCTCCCTTCAAGCGTAATCATACATTAATCAATTTTCTTGATTTAAACAGTTAATGAATTCTCATCGATATAATTCATTTTTTATTTTTTTTTTGGGACTATATATATAGATGTAGATTTATTTTTTATCGCGATGAAAGATTATAATGCAAGTATAAAATTTTTTATATTATTTTATGCGATAGCTTTCCAATAGAAAGATTTCATTTCGTGATAGCCTTACGTTTAAAGAGAGCGAGAAGCACTTAGTTTTTTAGAGTATATAGATTTTTAAATTTGCTAATATAAAGAGAAAAACTGGTTTTTAAACTAATCGTTTTATAAGATAGATAATGCCACTTGTCAATTTTCTACGTTTTTAACTTATGATACAAGAAACGTCATGAATTCTTAATTAATTTCGTTGAGAGATGTTTTTAAAACTTATATTACTAAATCAATGAAATGATACTAGCACAAAAGTATATAGGATCCAGTATATAGCACTAAGAATGGCGTATCCAAATGAATGATCATGCGTTTGCAATCCCGATGATGAATTCCTTGATAATAAAACAATGATGGCTAATGGTCGGAGCGATCGGAGCCCTAAAAAAATCAATCAAAAACAATGAAGTTTAAAAGAAATGCCTAAAACATTTTCATCTTTCGTAAAGAAAAATGCATCTTTCGTAAATAAAAATAAAAAAAATAAAAAAAATAAAAATAAAAAAAAAAACGACGCATTCACTCATCAATACAGGTTGTTTTATCGCAAACGAAATACGTTCTTAGAGAGATAATAGAATTTGACAATTTTATAGAGAGAATCATATTTTTTGTGGGATAGTATTTACAACACTTAAATGAATATTTTTCACATTGGAAATACAAATACGTATATTGCTATGTATTACAAGCACCCTTCTTGGAGGGGACCTTCGAACAGTTTCAAGGTAGAAATCAAACGCCTGGGGGTATTTGACCATTTAGTAAAATAATAAATGTATGCGACGAGTTCTTGAACAAGATGAAAGATGAACGCGGAGAGTATTCAGTTTTCTGATACGAAGAAAAGAACACTTCTATTATCTTGCAGTGGGTCGATCAGACTTATGCATACGCATTATTTTAATACACATAACTAATGTAAGTTTCAGTTTTTTTAATAATGACCGTTGGTGGCGGAGTGTCGCGAAAATGGAATTGATTCGACTGAAATTTGATTGGGATGGTGAGCTTCAAACAGTTACACAACTCCATTGAGAACTAGGAAATTCTTATTCAAATTTTTCAGACTGCCATATCACGGAAAATACTTAATTATATTTCCTTTGTCGCTGTCTATTTAAAAATATTTATTTCAATTTTATATGAAATTTATTCTTAGTGATGATTGGAGGGAAACAAATTTAATTCTAACATACAGCGAAGAACAAAACTGGACCAATAATATCGCTTTTCCCAGAAAATTATTTAAATTACTGTAGGGTCAGTTGAAACACTTTTTGATGGACCAAAAAAGATATTGAAATGAAAACTGTAATATCATTTCGTCAGAAATATTTTCAGTACGTCTCGTACATCATGCATAAGTAATTCTACAAATAGCAAAGAGAAAATTCACTATTACACAAAATTCGACCTACATTTTTTTAAATACTTATAGAACATCAATATTGGACTCCACTTTCGAAATATTCCATTGCATCATTAGTTATCATGACCATAAATTTGAAGCTATTGCAATAAATATTTCTCTCGAATGTGCACATGTTCGCTGGCAATGCGGGAATTAGTGTTAATCGAATTCAATTGAGTAGAAGAAGCGAAAGCAGTATTTTCAAATAAAATATCACTTTCAACGGTGATTGCATATCGTCATGAATTCGTACGTAAAAAAATTACAGGCCATTCAATTTACGCCAATTGTACGAATTAAGCGGAACGTTTTTTCAGCAATTATTATGAATGGCGAGAGAGTTGGTACGAGTGTCGATGGTTCTCTCTTCCCGTTTACCAAATTCAATTGGAAAAAACATTGTATTGATGTTTTTTCAGGCATCAACTGTTTTTTCAATGCAGCAATAATTTTTTTTGACACACTTTTAAAATGTAGTAATTTCTTTCTTTATTTTATATCTTTTTACTTTCTTTTTTTTACACCTTCTTATGATCACCTTAAGGCACCTAAAAACTACGGTAAAAGAATAAATTACATAATATTATTGGGAAGCTAATAATCTTTTATATTTCATACTCTTTGTAATAATAAAAAATAAAAAGTATCTGAAACTTTACAACTGAGAAACGATATAAAGTAACCATCTCGTTATTGTGCAAGTAATAGCGATATTGTAATTTATATGCACTTTATAAAATAAAAATACAATTAGATAAAATTATTTCTTTTCGTGATCTATTCAAGAAAAGAAATCGCAGAATAGGAATAATCTTACGTAAATATCAATTCTACGTCTTAAAATTGTCTTGCGGTCACAGGTGTAACTTCCGCAGCCATAATCAACACATTCATGATGTATCTACATTTCACTCACGAAACACTGCATTCATTCTTCTTTTGACGTAAGCTGTCACCCACGAAACAAAAGTATCAGTGCGCTTCAAAATACTCCAAATTTCATTAATCTTCGGTATTCCGAACCAACAACACGGTATTAAAACATAAAATTTGTGTCACATTCTGTATTCTTGAAACGTTCGCAAAATTAACACGAAACCAGAGAATTCATATGAAGGATTAAACGATTTACTCCGAAGTTTTCACGTATTTTAACCACGATCGCAACGATTGAATGTTTGTCGAAGAATTTTTGCAAATTTACGTTTTACTGTTCTGCAGATCGTGTCAAAAATATCAAAATTAATTTTGTTCAAATGTCGTTGATTTACTCTGAAAGTTTGACGTATTTTAACCGTGAATGACTGAATATATGCTGTAAAATTTTTGCAAATTCACATTTTGTCTTTCGATCAAAGATTACGCTTATAAATTTTAAAATGTAACTAAATAAATAAATTACAAAAACGTATTTAGCAATTTTTATTTTACTTTTAATTAATTATTGAACAATGATTCAAATTATTTGTACCATAATCAAAAAGGTCTCACTTTTGTTGAAGATATGGCAGTATTTAATGCTCCTGCAACCGGTCTTGTTTTTTGTTTTTCGACGTCGTATCTCTTGCATTCTCGTTCTCCTTTTTTCTGCTGGCCAATTCGACCAATAGACCCACAGAGAACCAGCTCCCATAATCCATGCACGCACCAAGGCCTAAGAAGACGTGTTCCCATCGAATCGATGGAAAACGAACCTTCGTCTCCTTTTTGGCACAACCACTAGCGAAACGAACCCCACGCTGGATTCCATGAATTCTTGCCTTAATTTCAGGTTATCCAGATTATAACGTGAACCTCCGGCTTTTGCTGCGGGGTTTACTTCTCGATGACAGATTGGTAATTTGAAAAATATACGATCCCTACGTTCTACGCTTTGATCTTCACGAAGCGATAATTCATCTCATGGTATTTTCTTCTCAACCCTTTTACAGATTTTTAGAATTGCTGTCGTGGTTTTACTGATTCTTAGCGTGAATGAATTTTTCAGTGCTTGTGATGAGACAATGGAAGATTAGATTTATTAAAAATGAATGCTTTATATGTTTTAATTTAAATATTTTAAATAATCAAATTTACAATTTTACAAATTCCTAGTTCTTCAAATTTAAAATCTTACATATATATAAATTTTTAAATTTCCAAGTCCTAAATCTCCAATTTCTCAAATTTCCATATTCTCAATTTTTACCCTCCAAATTACCAACTATTTAAATGCTCCATATTTTTCAAATCATTGAAACTTTCAAAATTTCCAGTTGCTAATTCACCTCGTATTTCTACCTTACGTTCATCATCCGCTTCCACAAAAATTTGGAATATGCTCGTAGACCTCGACATCCGATAAACCTTAACAATCATATAGCTCTATTAATCGAACAAGTGTAACAAAATTTTTGTTCAAAATACTATTTCTGAACTTCCTCTAGAAACTCTGTAAATTGGTCCTTCCCGAACGAACCATCGAGTATCAAGATCTTAGCGTAATTACACAATTAGACGCGTTCTCCTTTCGTCAGAATCGGGATAACAGGAGTCCGCTTTGAAATTTGTTTCGCAATTCCCGCGAAAGATTTAGTCGAACGAGAAAGCGAAGAATATCATCTGCTGGTCCAGCGGTCGTTCAGTTTCCGGTAGCGCGGCGTGTCTGCTGGATCCTCGATCCAGTGTGGTGGAACGCTAATGGTGGGGCGATCGCGAGCAGTGGCACGTCGCTATTGGTCGAGGAGGAATTGGTGTTGGCCGAGAGGACACGAGTCGACATCGAAATCGAAGAGAGAGGGAAACTCGGCTGAGCAAGGGAAGGGTCGGGGTGGGGAGAGCGACGAACCAGAGTGGGACTCGGAACAGTTCGGACGCATACTGTGCAGGAATAGTGTTTCAGTTAGCGGCGAGCCGCCGTTGAGGAAGGATCGTCGTTGTCGTCCGTTTCTATTGCGTTCTGACCGGCGTGTGCTTTGCGTTCCGTGTTTCCGTTCGAACAGTTTTCGCGCGTGCTCTGTCGGGATTGTCCAGGAATGCGATTGTCACGTTGCCGTTGCGTCGAGATCGAATGCACGCGAAACGGAGGCAGCCGATAATGTTGATCGGTGAAAAGATCGAGGGGAGAGCGGTGGGCGCTGATGTCCTGGGTTGAATCGGCATGCCTCTCGATAAAACGCACGGCCAACCGTTGTTTACCAACTAGGTACAAGAGAAGATCATCCTTTCCGCCTTCGAACAGAGCCAGGGAATAAGGACAGTCTGCACGCATAGGACCTGGAACAGATAGGAGGCGAGACAAAGATGTGCGGTCAGGCGCGAATGTTCGGGCTCCTCTGCGTTATCCTGTTGTTGCAGCAGGGTAACACGTTGGCGGGCAGCGAGATCTACAGCAAGATGTTCTCCAGCCAGCAGCACCCGTCGGATCCTTGTTACGACGAGGACAGGCCTCGCCGTTGTATCCCGGACTTCGTGAACGCGGCGTTCGGTGCCGTCGTGGAGGCCTCGTCGACCTGCGGTACCGGGGGTCCTACCAGGTACTGTGACGTAACGGAACAACCGGGTGGCGGCACGGGAATAGGTCAGTGCCACATCTGCGACGACAGCACTCCCCGACGCCGATTTCCCGCGAGTTACCTGACGGACCTGAACAACTCGAACAATGTGACCTGCTGGCGCAGCGAGCCGCTGGTCACGTCGCAGAGCTTCTCCGCGCCGCCAGACAACGTGACCTTGACCCTGTCGCTAGGAAAGAAGTACGAGCTGACCTACGTGAGCCTGCAGTTCTGCCCGAAGGCCGCTAAACCCGACTCGATCGCGATTTACAAGTCGATGGACTACGGGAAGACGTGGCAGCCGTTCCAGTTCTACTCGTCCCAGTGTCGTCGGGTGTATGGCCGGCCTAATCGGGCGACCATCACGAAGGCCAACGAGCAGGAGGCGAGATGCACGGACAGCCATCGATACACGGGCGGTGACGGCCTCGGGCCCGTCGGCAGGATCGCCTTCAGCACCTTGGAGGGTCGTCCGTCGGCCTCCGACTTCGACAACTCGCCCGTTCTGCAGGATTGGGTTACCGCCACCGACGTCCGCGTCGTTTTCAATCGACTGCATATGCCGCAGCAGCCCCCCCAGGAACAAGTCCCCCCTTTGGGCAGCGACGACGACCACGGCCTCGGTCTTGAGGAGCTGGCCAAACGCGAGAGGGAACGGGAGGAACGGCTGAAGAGTCAAAAGAGTTTGGGCCGGGGAGCCGTTGATCCTCTGGCGACCGCTTTGCCCTCTGTGCATCAGGTGATCGCTCCTCAGGAGATGCAGTCGAACGACGCCGTGGAAGGCGAGCTTAATTTCGCCGTTACCGTGTCCACGTCGACCAGTACCATCTCCAGTGCCGGGACCAGCACGTTCGCCCATCATTACGCCGTTTCGGACTTCGCCGTCGGAGGCAGGTGCAAATGCAACGGACACGCGGCGAGGTGCATCCCAGGCAAGGACGGCGAGGTCGCTTGCGAGTGCAGGCACAACACCGCCGGCAGAGACTGCGAGAGGTGTCGGCCGTTCCACTTCGATCGACCCTGGGCACGAGCCACTGCCAGAGATGCCAACGAATGCAAAGGTTAGTCTTTTTTAAAAGCTTCTTTTCTCAGATCCATGCGTACCACCGCCGAACAGATACCGGTGCGGATTTGGGTGGTGCTCGGAATCGGATTTCAACAGTCTTCGATTACACTGTTTTCTAGAACGACGCGACGCACGGTGGTGCGTCAGCGTTAATCGGGGTCCACGATTCAAATTTAGCTGCGCACGCTTTTGGATAAATAGGGGAGTTAATTGTAAATGCTTATGCTTGGAAAGCGGCTCAGGTAGCAGTAATTCGAGTTGCATACTGCACTCGAAAAGAAGTTGTCCGTTCGTTGTGGATGTAACGTGTTCACATGTATCTTATGTGAGCTACCGTTTGTAAAGTTTCAACTCTTCGTTTGGATAGTATTTTACCGATGCGTGTGGGACTAATTAAAAATTTCGGTATTTTATTATAATTGAAGTGTCATTTTGTATCTTCTTGGAAGATTTGGTCGCAATTGACTAGGTTCCACTACTTTACAATTAATTCTTAATTAGTATGGCTTAGAAATGCAATATGTAGATGTGGCGAGGGTAAAATGGACCCCTACGGAGTGTAGATTTAATTTGGTCCATGGAAATCAGAACATTCTATGATACATACATATGGCCCATATTAGCTTTTACTTATATTTTGATATTATAACCTGGACGAGAAATGAAGAATAGCACACTTTTACAAGAAAACTTCGCCATCTTCGATTTCGTTCAAACTTTGTACAATTACAGAGGACACCAAAAATAATAGTTTCGTGAAACCATAGCACGCAACTCTTCTCTAAGGAGAAGATTTATGTTTAAAGTTCTTGCAATTTATATCTAACTGTTCGAGAATAATACAAGCTGAAGTATACATTGTAGTCTAATGGAAAAGTGCTAGGTTTATTAAACGAAGCGTTGCAAGTTCGAAACTCGTAGAGTTTTTATATCTTTCTTTTTCATTTTTTTATCCTATTTAATTTTTTACTAAAATTAATGTGAAAAGGAGAAACAAACATCTTTAACATGAAAGACTAAATGAAAGAAATTTCTACATTTGAAATACCTAATGCTAATGAGGCATCATTTCGATGGAGATGTTACTTTCGGTAGAAAAGCTTGTAACCAGATGTTAGGTAATTAGAGAACATGAAAACTTGAAAAAATACTTGAATTTAGTTATCGTTTTACTATTCTATACCATAAAAATTTTTATTATAATTAAACTTTCAGTTTTCTACAACCTCGGGCTTTTCATACTATATTGCTTAAAGGTAGCGGCAAATTCAAATGTAAATTGTTCTATACAATACTCTGTACGTATGAATTTATAACATCTTTTTGTTTACTTTCATGAATACTATTTTTTAAACAACATACACATGCAATGTAATTCGAATACAATGTTGTAATTAATTAGAATTAGAATTTCCTTCGTTTCGCGTCAGAGGGCGCGTAAGCGGCGCCAAATTCAAACAGTAATCACATCCGTAAAACATTCTGTACACAGAAAGTTCAATTTAACAAATGTTTCCGTTTAATAAATATCATTTCCTATATACTCTGTGTATGCAATATTATAATTAATTGCAATCAGAATTATCTTTTTCTCTCCTTTGTCGTACACGTCGCGCAAATGGCGGCAAATTCAAATGCAATTACTTGTGTAAAACACACTGTACATATAAAATTGAATTAAAGAAACAACTACGTTCATATTAATAAGTATAATATCATTGTCAACTTGAATAAATTTGGTAAAGACTTCGTACATACATTCGAATACAACGTAATTAATTAGAATGAGGATTTTCTTATCCTTTCTTGTTTTTATCGCGGACGTCGCGCAAAAAGGGCGTCCTTTATCGATTCGAAACGATTTTAGAGGGTGGTTTGCCCCCGACGTTTTTGATTTGAGCATGCATCCTCGATACGAGTCTCGAGGCAACGCTTCGCCGCTTCGAATTAAGGGGTGAACCGAAAGGAGTACTTCTACCCCTGGGGCTCGATCTACCGGGCAAAACAGAGAAAGGGAATAAGAGATGGAATCGCGAAGAGTAAAAACGGAGCACGGAGAATTGAGACTCCGGGAATGGAGAGAATGAAAGATGCAGAACCGAAGGATAAACGAACCACCAGCCACCGAAACGAAACGAGAAACGAGCTCGCTTTTGGTGTTTTATTTTCTATTGCTTCGAGCGTGACTTTACACGCTTCACCGAAGAAATACTAGTATAATCCTTCGATTAACGAGGTTTGCTATTTTCAAAGGTCGCAAGACTACACTTTTTTTACATTGCTGCACAAGATTCTATTGCCCCCAGAGCGATGGTCTTACCGTTAAGGGGTAATGTTGCACAAGAAAATGTTGAGGTCACGTGTCTTCCTTTTTTGTCTTTTCTCAATGTTGTGGAAAATTATGGGTATCTAAAGTATCAAGGCACTTCACGTACAATTGGATTCAGAGATATAGTGTGGTCGTAAAATCGTTAGAAAGGTTACTTAATTTTTATATGATTGGTCAGATATTATTAAAATACTTTTACTAAGACAGTAAAAGACTAAAACTAAGATAGTGTGTCTGCAAGTGGGAGAAAAATCGCGTACACAGTAATCCTTTTCCCAATTCTTGATCAAACTATAGCAAGATAAATACAAAATTAAAAGTCATAAATCCTAAAATACGTCGATATGCAGCTACAAAACAAAGGCATAATAATTCAAGATTTCGAGCAATTTATTATTATACCGACAGTGTCAAACAACTTAATATTTATGTACGACACCGTACACACATACATATAAAATATGAAAGGCATCACGTGAGATACGAGGTACACAGAGAGCAAAATTCATAAATGTCATGGCAGTGGTAAGCAAAGCTTCGCCGATAGATTGTACGGGGATCCATGGCAAAAAATGGAATAATAAAAGAGCAATGTCACTTGCCACTTCAGCAGGGTCCGTAAATTTTGCTGTTGAAATTGTGCGCACCGTCTGTGCCCTTTCTGGCGAATGTCCCGGCAATATAAGGTGTATCGAGTCCTTTTCAATGTCCCTCTTTTTTTTGTTCTTGCAACATGAGCCAACAACGTTTAAGGGCTTAAGTAACATATGCTACGGTTTCGCATTTTGAGTGGCACAGACGGCGTCAACGTGAAAATTGTGGGATTTCCAGATACTTTTATGGCTAGGAAATTCCCTACGTTTTAGAAAATTGCCTTTTATGAGTAGTGTACGTTTTGTGTTTCGGAGGTGACAGTTCTCTTATTTGCTTTTAATTGTATAACATTAAATTTATGATAAGCAGTAAATCTATACAAAAATACATAAAATGAAAATTTGACTCTTGGAATAAAATTAAAAAATAAACAAATGATAAAATACATTAATTCTTTACTTTGAAGAACACTTACTTCGGAATTCAGAATGAAATTGACAAATAAATTAACAAACGATAAAACATAATTAATTGTCAACCTGGAAAATCAATAAAAATTCCGAGGAAACTAGTTTAACAAATTTTGGAATATAAATGAACTTGTGAAACAGTTGCTTTGGTAATTTTAGTCTTGTTTCAATGAAACATTATACCCATTATAACGTACATATTTTGTCTTAAATTTAGAGATATGTAACAAAACTTATTTTTGTAAAATAATATACACATCACAGCATTTACGGAATCAGAAAATGACGTTGTATATATTAATAATTTAAAATTATTCGCTTTAGTAATTTTAATCTTGTTTCATTGAAATCTCAGACACACTATAATGTGTAGCAAAATTTATTTTTGCAAAATAATATACACATCACAGCATTTATAAAATCACAAAATGATGTTGCTGTAATATAATTAATTTCTTTGGTACGAAATATTTCTAATGTGATATACTAATAATTTTAGTTGTAAAAAATTAGGTATGAAGGTGAGAAATTAATGAATGAACGATGAGTGCAAGAGTATGTCGTTTATCAGACATTGATTAGATGACATGCTCATACAGTTTGCCGCCATTGGTTGGTTAAATCGATCTTACAGCTCGTGAATAATTCAGCCCGCGCGACGATTTCTTTTCCTAACCTCTTCCGGGAGGCATCACGCGTTTTGAATAGAAACGCGAGTGTTTTAACTGAAATATGAATTCATTGTTATCTCAGAGATATACGAACTTCAATATGTACACACGAATTTGAATTATTTATAATAGATCAGTTACAGTTAATAGAAATCAAATACCACAAGGAAAGAGTATATCTGCCATTTTATGAATGTGACGTTACTCGTGTTGCGGAATGGTATTTGCGGCATATCGATTTGAAAGTTAAATTTTTCTCTAATATTTTTTGTACTAGATACCCAAATTTTTAATATTATTTGTAACAGAATGATGTAGCATTTATGTATTAGGTTTTTGTCTATCAGACGTTGTTTTTATTACAAAATGGTGCTTGCAAAATATCAATTTGAAGCTTAGGATCTTCACTAATATTTGTATTATAAAACTGTCAGATTTCAAATACTATTAGGTTGGGGAATAAGTTCGTGGCGTTTTGACATTTTATTTTTTTTACAGTGACATTTTGCAATTTGCAAGGGGTTATAATATTCATTCGATAGAGCTCTTTCTGCTCTACAAAACTGTGTTAATCGTTTTTTTTAGTAGATTCATTTGTCATTACTATTGAGGCTCAAAAATGGAATATCAAGAAGGTAAAAAGCAGCATTTTCGATACCTGCTCTTCTTCGCTTTTCATTGCGGCCAGAAAGTTGTGAAAAGTTGCTGAAACAAGCCGGGATATTTGCAATGTATACGGAGAAGGTGTCATAGGTGAGTCGACAGCACGGAAATGGTTTGCAAAATTCAAAAATGGCGATTTTAACGTCGAAAACCCGCCCCGCAGCGGAAGACCTTCTGAGTTCGACGAAGAGCGTCTCCGAGAACTTGTGAAGCAGGATGGTCTTCAAACTCGTCGTGAATTGATCGAAAAAATGAACTTCAATTCACG